AAATTTTATTAAAAGATTAATGCACAACTGTTTAACAGCATTGAAACATAATTAAAAATTCCATTGTTCACATGTAAATGATTTCTCTCATTACAAATTGTCTTATCAAAATAATGAACATGGTTGTGTTTACTTAGCAATATTAATGGCCTGGACAGGATTTCCTAGGAAATTTAGTCTGGGCACATAAATTTTATTAAAAGATTAATGCACAACTGTTAAACAACATTAAAACATAAGAATTAAATATTCCATTGTTTACATGTAAATGATTTCTTTTATTACACATTTTCCTATTAAAATAAAGGACATGGACGTTTTTACCTAGGAATATTGATGACATGGACATAAATTCCTAGGAAAATTTGTCTGGGGACATAAATTACTGACATCGGACTAAATATACTAGTAAACTCTGTAACCATGGACTTTTTATACTAGTAATATTTGTCCGCCCGGACACATTTTACCAGGACTAATTTATCACTTACACAAGTACTGGGTACTTATTCATAGTGCCAACTGGTCCAAATATATCATTCTCATTTATGATTATATCTACTCCTACTCGAAAAGGGTCAGTCTTAGATGTTCTTAGTTTTAACACATATTCATCATGTATTAAACTGATCTCAATATCATTAATTAATAAGCAGTTCAGATAATCATCCTTACTGCTACAAATGAACCCTCTGCATCAAAGAAAACCGAAGAAAGATGTCTAAAATGCACATACTTATGGGTTTTGGACAGGACAAAAACACCCCAACAACAATATTATGTTCATCAAGGATCTATGAGTTTCAATGACTGTGAAGGGTAAATTAACATAAGCACTTTTTAAAAATTTAAATTACATATATGCATATATTATGAGTTTACTTTGCATACAGGGCTTTAAGTAAACTATGCTTACTGTAAACTGTGAATTTATGCTGAGTCATCATATTTAAGGCCCTGAATTTTCTCAATCTTTGTGAAATATTTATAAAACTTTATATATTAGTTAATGTTATTAAAATCTCTGGAGATAAACCAGATTTGGTGAAATTCTACATGTTCTCTTTTTTCACCCAATATAGGTTGCACTTTTGTAAATTTGGCCACTATCCATGTGTATTTAATTCTGGTAAAATTTCCAAGTTGTGTCTCTATGAGATGAAACATAGCTATATATATAGAGATCATATCTTGGGACCAGTAGATAAACAAACAAAATATCTATGAATATTAAATATCTCCCCAAAAGAAGGGTTGTTTGTGAAACAGCTGTATTTACAAAGTGCAACCTATAACATTTCATATATCTGAATTGAATATTTAGGTTGTTGAAGCTTAGGCTGTATGTTTGAAAGGCATAAATTTGGTTTAAATTCAGATGATTTAGTCAAATTTCACTAAAATCAACTTTAAGCTTATCTGGGTTGTAAATGTTAACACTTTATAAAAAAAGATTGACAAACAAAGTTTTATTCCACTTTTTTATGTGTCTTGTCATCAGCTTGTAACATTTTTTATCTTGAAACAATGAAACTTAAAATTTGGGGCCAAGTATGGCCCTCACCAAACTTACACATTTATAAGAAGTTTATGGAATACTTTATGAATAAATATGTAACACTCTCTAACGTGTCCATCCACCCAAACGTGTCCTTAAAATCCTAAATCATCCAAAAGTGTGCAATTTCACATCCCCCAAATGTGCCCGATAATTGTTATAAGCCAAAACGTGTCCACTTTAAATCACCAGAATGTCTCAAAACTTTTAGCGCTAACATGTCCTCAGCGACGTCAATAATGTTTACAGTAATTCACTAAAGAGACATAAACAAAAGAAATAACTTTGCACATATCATAAGCATCCCTGATACCAGCCTTATAGTTGATACTCGTTAGAAAAACATGTATTACTTAAAGGTAATGTTAAATACGTTAAAACAGGATGCGTCACTTACAAGATGAGAATTTAAGTCATTTTAATTGCACATCATCTTTTTAACTGTAACATAACGTTAAATTTATTGTTAAAGAAGTAATAATCTACTAACAGAAAATAATGGATTAACTGATTGTTGCCTGCTTAACATTTTGTGGCAATTATTTCATGCATTTTAGAACAAAATATTGATTTCAATTGTTGGATGCTTAATGTCCAGTGGCAAATATTTCATGCATGTTTAGGATGACAACATATTAACAATAAATTCAATAGGTAGGACACGTTAAGGCGTTTTCAAAATATAGACACCATTGAGCATTCACAAAAAGAGGACTTTTAGGCTTCAGTTGAACACAATTGGGTGCTCATAAAAGGGACACGTTTTGGCGCCCTTTAGCAACTAGATATGTTTTTGCAGTTTAGTGGCTACATATGGACAAGTTTGGGGGATGGACAGGTTTCTGAGTGTTACAAATATATTAAAAAAATCTTGATGTCAGTCATTAAATTCCATAAATGGCAAAATACAAAATAACCCATAACACAGTGCTTATTACCACAGATCAAGTTTGATTTTTGGTGGCGTCACTTTAACTGTTCTAGAGTTATGCCCCTTTATAAATGGAAAAATTGCAAAATTTTTATTTTCTTCTAAATATCAAGTAATAAGTAATAAGCATGAAATTTGGTGGCGACACTTTTACCATTCTTGAGTTATATCCCTTTATAAACATAAAAATTGCTGATTTTTTCGTTTCCGTTCTCTAACTTTAGTTTGTCCCAACCAAATGTTATAAAACTTATACACTACCGTTCTAGAGTTATGCGTGTTTACAAATAGAAATATTGCTGAATTTTTAGTTTCTGTTCTCTACTTAAGTTAGCCTCAACCAAATGTTATGAGACTTACACACAATGCTTATTACCACAAAACTCATATCAAGTTCAAATTTGGGTAGCGTCACTTTTACCGTTCTTCAGTTATGTTCCTTTATAACTATATGATATGCAAGTGGGGGCATCATCTGTGTCCACATGTGGACACTACCCGGTATCCACATTTATTTAAGTATATAAGCTACCTGATTTATGCATTGCGGGGGACACAGAAATACCGGCTTCTGTTTCATTTTTTAGCAAACAGATGCCAGTATTCCACTAAGGAAATAGTGACCTCAGGATTTTTGCAGGGTTTAAAAGGATATTTTTATGCCCAACCTAGGGGGATTACGTTTTCAGGTCTGTGCGTCCGTTCGTTTCACCATCCGTTCGTTCGTTCGTTCGTTCGTCCGTCCGTCCGTCCGTCTGTCCCTCTTCAGGTTAAAGTTTTTGGTCAAGGTAGTTTATGATGAAGTTAAAGTCCAATCAAATTGAAACTTAGTACATGTGTTCCCTATGATATGATCTTTCTAATTTTAATGCCAAATTAGAGTTTTAACCCCAATTTCACGGTCCACTGAACATAGAAAATGATAGTGCCCACTTCAGGTTAAAGTTTTTGGTCAAGGTAGATTTTGATGAAGTTGAAGTCCAATCACCTTGAAACTTAGTACACATGTTCCCTATGATATGATCTTTCTAATTTTATTGCCAAATCAGAGTTTTGACCCCAATTTCACGGTCCACTGAACATAGAAAATGATAGTGTGAGTGGGGCATCCATGTACTATGGACACATTCTTGTTCAAGTACTATAAGCAATAGGTCGTCTATATTTGGAGTATGGAATGATTGTAAGGTGTACAAGTCTGTCTTGCAGGTATAATCCGACCTTGAACTCATTTTCATGGTTCATTGGTCAATGTTAAGTTTTTTGTGTTTTTGTCTGTTTTTCAAGTACTATAAGCAATAGGTGAAGTATGTTTGGTGTATGGAATGATTGTAAGGTGTACATGTTTATCTGGCAGGTATCATCTGACTTTGACCTCATTTTCATGGTTCATTGGGCAATGTTAAGTTTTTGTGTTTTTGTCTATTTTTCAAGTACTTTAAGCAGTAGGTCAACTATATTTGGTGTATGGAATGATTGTAAGGTGTACATGTCTGTCTGGAAGGTATGACCTGACCTTGACCTAATTTTTATGGTTCATTAGTCAATGTTATGTTTTTGGGTTTGTTTTTCAAGTACTATAAGCAATAGGTCAACTATATTTGGTGAATGGAATGATTGTAAGGTGTACATGTCTGTCAGGAAGGTATCATCTGACCTTGACCCCATTTTTATGGTTCAATGGTCAATGTTAAGTTTTTGTGATTTGGTCTGTTTTTCAAATACTAATAGCAATAAGTCAGCTATATTTGGTGTATGGAATAATTGTAAGGTGCACATGTCTGTCTGGCAGGTATCATCTGACCTTGACTTCATATTTATGGTTCAATGGTCAATGTTAATTTTTTTGTGTTTTGGTCTGTTTTTCAATTAGCATATATGCAATAGGTCAACTATATTTGGTGTATAAACAAATTGTAAGGTGTATTTGTCTGTCTGACACAATTTATCTGACCTTGACCTCATTGTCATATATTTTTAAAGATTTTAAGTTTCTGTAATGCTTTTAGTAAAACCTTTATCTTTAAGACTTTCAACATAAAATCAATGCTCAGTAAAGCAGGCAAGACATTTCAGTGTGTGCACTCTTGTTCCATACAGTTACTTATTTATTTTAAACCATTGCAATTTTTTATTGTTTTAAACAATGCTGCATATTTGTTTTTTTTTTTCATATGCAACTATTTCCAACAGTTTTGGAGTTAGGATGCTAAGTATTATATATAATATTTCAAGCTGCCTTTGGAAATGTTACTTACTTTTCCTAGTGATATTGAGAGGTCGTTGATTATTATAATACTCCTGCCCTCAGGAATATCAATGATCGTCCCCTTATTGTCATTCCTACAATATAGATAAACCTTTAAATTTTTTTTTTCATTCAAACAAGTTCCAAAAGCTAAAAGTAGTCAAATTATTGGCAAATATTAATTCCTTGGAACTATTTGTGTCTGTTAAATTGTCACAAATTTTTTTTTAAACCTCTTCATATTGCTTTCTTCCTGTTTTCAGAGGTGAAAATGGTCCAGGAGGATTTTTATTTGTACCTATACCAAATGAGCAACATAAATGTCAATTTTTATGGTATCTCAATACAAATCTAAAGGTAAGTGGAGAAAAAAATATATAATCATGATAAAGGACTGAACATTCATCTTTCAATAATTAAGAAGGGAAGTGAAAAAAAACATAGTTTGTTTCTATTAAAAATAAGTAAAATGAATAAAACCAACAATGATTTTTTTTTTAAATCCTTGTTCCTTTATGTTATTGAACAGTTGTTAAAAAAAACATGTATCCCACAAATGATGAATGGTCAGTGCCTAAATATCTTGATCAGATCCAGAAAAAAATATTGCACCTGAAAAAGTGAAAATATAATTAGAAAAGGCATCAAGAGATCAGCAAATGGTCTTCAACAATTGCCAAATGTCTTGACCTTTTACCATCTCTATATTGCCTTGACTCTAGACTCACAGTTTTGATATTTTTTTCTACAATTAGTGTTTTTAAAAGCTTAATATTTTGATCTCATGTCAAAGTTTATTAAGGAGTTAGAAAAGTCAGTCACAAATAATATCAAATAACTATTTTGACACCCTTGGGTTAGACAGGTTGTGCACAAATTTACTATGGACTGTCAAAGAATTTCCATTGACACAAAATTCTTTACAGGACAAAAACACTAAGATTTTACACAAACAAGACCACTGACAAGGTTCATTATGTAAGACAAGGACATCAAAATTGCAGGGTTAAACTACATTTTTTTAGTGCTGAACCCTCCCTTATTTTGTCAATCTACAGAACAACCATGTTGGACATATATTGATAGTCATTTTATTGTCTCGCCTTGACGGGGTCAAAAAGAGAGACATAGGTATGATGTTTCCGCTGGCGGCGGCAGCATCAACAATGTATTAGTTTGTGATTAGGTCTAGTTCATGGTGAAACACTAGTGGTAGGTCAATGATATTTGGTATGCAGTTATATTAGCATTAGCACATCTCATTACCATGGAGATTATTTGGCCCACCCCTCAGTCAAGGTCTATTGACTTTGAAACTTTGCTTAGTTTCCATGTATTAGTTTGTGATTAGGTCAGTTTATGGGGAACCACTAGTGGTAGGTAAATGATATTTGGTATGCAGTTGTATAAGCATTGGCATATCTCATTTCCATGGTGATTATTTGGCCCAGCCCCCTCATTCATGGTCTATTGACTTTGAAACTTTTGCTTCGTTTTCATGTTTTAGTTTGTGATTAGGTCAGTTTAAGGGGAACCGTTAGTGGTAAGTCAATGATAATTGGTATGCAGTTGTATAAGCATTAGCACATCACATTTCCATGGAGAATATTTGGTCCTAACCCCCTCAGTCATGGTCTATTGACTTTGAAACTTTTGCTTAGTTTACATGTATAAGTTTGTGATTAGGTCAGTTTAAGATGAACCACTAATGTTAAGTCAATGATATTCGGTATGCAAATGTATTGACATTTGTAAGTTTCATTTCCATGGAGATTATATAACCCCACCCCCTAATTATGGTTCATTGACTTTGAAACTTTTACATAGTTTACAAGTTAATGTTTGTGTTTAGGTTTGTTTAAAGGGAACGACTTATGAAAAGTCAATGGTATTTGGTTTGCAGTTGTATTAGCATTGGCACATCTCATTTCCATGGAGATTATTTAGCCCTGTACCTTCAGTCATGGTTCATTGACTTTGAATATTTGCATAACTTACATGTTTAAGTATTGCTATTTTAATTTCAACATTTGCATTATCAAAATAACAAATAGGCGAGACATATCTCTGTGTTAACAGTTTATATGTATAAGTATTGGAAATGTATGATTGTTTTGTTATGTCAATTGTTGACAATTACCATATTATTTAGAAAGATGCTGACGAAAATAGAATTTTAAAGTTTGTATGCTATTTATTTTTATACAGGGATGGTTACCACAGCAGGCTATTGATGTAGGACTAACAGGAGTAATGCTTGACTACTTAAAATATCTTAGAATACACATTGAGGACCTCAAAAACAGGGAAAAATCCTGAGAATATAGAAAAGAAGGGAAAGAAAATTGTATTTTCATTTTAACAAAATAAGCATTCTGTGATTAGTATTACAATGATTTAAAATTTAGGTTGATTTGATTACATGTTATTGTATGGCAGAAGAATGTGTCATTTATTATGTTTATGAAGATAAAGATTTTTGGTGTGTGTGAATTTTTTGATAATATATAGATGGATCATGGATAACCTTTTTTTTAAAACAATTAAATTTTATTTGTAGAGCTTGAAACAAAACAAAAACATTTTAACAGAGTTTTATCTTATTTTGTGTGGACAGTATAAATTATGTACCTATGTTTGAGTTGTATAAGACAATTTATGAAGTTTCATGGATTGCCTCTGAGGCTCATGGGTTCAAGCAGCTTTTTTTGTGTCATTTGATGGATCCTTTGAATGACCTAAAAACCCCTTGTTAAAATTGTTTGAAATGATAACTTTATTGGTACATTTGTATATATTTCTGAATCATAAGTAGTTAATTGTGATAATAAATTGTCAGGATTTAGGTTTAATAAATGATTTTCTTACTTACTTTATGATCCTCAGGTGTTTTTCATAGGATGTGATGATCACTAATTTTGAAATGAAATGACAGCTTCTTTCACAGGAATCATAGCTCTTGCAGATATATTGCTGAAACAAATTTGTCTTTGTTGATAAAAAAAAATTGGATTAAATGTGAACCAAAAAATGCAGTAATTGAGATTAAGCTTATTATGATTTGGAAATGATATTACTCTTTAAATTGAAGAAATAAAAAAAGTATGACAATACTTATGAACTCATCATGATAAAATATTTTACAATGGTTATCTTTTCTTTTATCTTAATTGATGTTTGGGCTCAATGCCAGACGGAAGGACATCAGCATTTCTCCATCTCCTCTTTGTAGCTGAGAACAATAAGAGGAAAAAGACGGGAGGAACCAGCAGTTTGAACAATTACTATTATGGAAGAAAAGTAGCAAATGCATCATAACAAGATACTTTTTTTATATAGTTACTCATTGAACAATGACATATTTAATTGAATTTGCTGTTTCTCTTCTGAGTTGCATTTTTGTCTAGCTTTGACAAAGTCGAAAAAGTGAGACTTAGGTTTGCTGTTTCGACGGTGTGAACAATGTATTAGTTTGTGATTAGGTCAGTTTAAGGGGAACCATTAATAGTAGGTCAATGATATTTGGTATGCAAATGTATTAGCATTGACTTGTCTAATTTCCATGGAGATTATTTGGCTCTGTCCCTCAGTCATGGTCTGTTCACTTTTAATGTTTTGCATAGTTACATGTAACATGTTAAAATATTGCCATTTTAATTTCAACATTTGCATTATACTATCGAAATTACAAAAAAAGCAAGACATATCTCTGTGTCAACAGTTTATGTATATTTGAATATCTGTATTTAAAAATATGAAGGATGGTTCTACTTGCATGAATTTAAGTATTGTTACCCCTGTCAAAATTCACAGCAGCAATAAATAGACTGAAATTTTGACAAATTTATGATTTTCCATCCTCTTCCCCTTCCCTATATCTTACCAGTACCTTAAAAGTGGCATTGCCTCCCAGTCCTAATCACTATATATCAATAACATTTATTATTTTTAAGATATCGAATAATGACTTCTTCATTCACATTTTGTAGTTCTTTATGGTATTTTATGCACTTATAAAAAAAAAAAATTTTAAAGGGAATTTATTAGAAACTAAGGTTTCAAATCCCATAGGCAAAGTTGACCTTAGATGGATTTGGCTATTTTTTTAGGTCCTTTTTAGTAATATAGCTCTTCAAATGTTTCGGTTCTTATACTTCCTTGGATATCAAATATTCTGCTGTGAGCGTTCCTGATGAAGGTAAATCAAGATAAGTGCTTCTTACGCATGAAATTTACTTCATATGCTCTGACTTTGTGTACATCCTTGGTGTAGATTTTGCCTAGGGCACAGGTGAGGTAGGAGTATATTATTGTTACAGTAATACAGTTGATGTTTAATGAATACCTGTAGTACAGCCATACAATACCCTATGCACCACCGATTAAATACCCCAACCAGTTAACTAATACACAACCTGTATATAGATCTTATTTTTATTGCTTTTAAGAATATGCTGATATAAAAAGGTTTATTGCAGTATGGATTTTTTTTTTTAAATTGAATTCTTGAGATAGAAAAATAATATTCCTGTATGCATGCTACTTTGCATGTCTATAATTTCATAAGAAGGCTTGAAGCTCGTTACCCACCACCGCTTTCAACAGTGGTGGGGCAAAACTCTGTTGACATTTTTTAAATCAAAAATGAAACTTACTTACTTTAACCCCCATAAACGTGGGACAGTGGTCTTACAGCACAACATACTAAGAACGAATTTTAAAAATCAGTTGCAATTGGCTTAGCTCAAAAGATCGGTATGAAGTACAAAAATCACTAACATAAAAACAATAGACACAAAGCACCGAAATAAAAGTACTCACAGTTACTGTAAGCTAGTTCAAAGCCAATTACAACTAATAAATAAGTCATGTCCTCCCAGACTGAAGGATGTTACATTTATACATTTTCATGCTCAGCCCTGATTGAAAATTCAACATTTTTTTTAAAAGCACCCCTATATGAAGAAATGTTTTTGTCAAATATCAAAAAGAGAATTATGTGTTGTGAATATTTTCTTGGACTCAAGCATTTTGCTGGTAGCAATCAGGAACATATATATATAAATATACAAATACAAATATTTTATTAGCACAAACCAAGGATTTGTATAGTAAGACTCACCAAGGATTTGTATAGTGAGAAGGATTGGAATCTCGCGGTATATCGACACTTCTCGCGTATCGTGAGATGTTGCGTACTCGCCACTATAAATTTATACGCGCCTGTTAGTAAATATCAGGTCGAACAGCGTGTATTGCAAGATAATCATTTCTGACTTGTTTGTTGTTAGGTTTAGTTTGTTTTAGCATCTTTATTCAATATTTTGTTTTAATTCGCAAAGATATCACGATTCCTTCTGAGTATGTCATATTGAGGACCTCTCTCAAGCTGGAAAATACTTGAAACTTTGATAGTCGTTTACATTTGGCAGTTGCCGAAAATTATCGTAGTTATGTTGTTGTTTTTCTTGTGATCGTAATTTGAGTAGCCCAACACATCTTTATGATACTTGTAATAGCTGTTTAAGATAACCCCAAAGAGAAGGTCAAAACAATTATTTATTTTCGCAGCTTGTCTTTGTCCTTTCTTCTAGTATATGAAACCATGGAAGTATTATATTGACTTCAATATAATACTTCCATGATGAAACTGACCCAACTACCACAAGAGCATTGACCATGTTGACAGTTAGAGGAAATCATACAGTCTTCAGTATAGTCAGTCTCCATACAATATCTGTATGTTGATTTTTTATCATAGTTAAGTTATGAATAAATTTAACAGAATCAATATACATGTACAAATGTAAGGTCCGCAACAAATGAGAAATTAAATGAATTCATTGATTTTCAAGAATTCTCGTCTGTTCAAACTGCAAATACATGAGTTGTAACTGGAACTATAGAGGTTTGAGTTCATTGAAGGACTGGCAGGAAGTTAAAAATAAGTTCATGATTATAAACAACAGTAAAATAGAAACTGAAATGATATGGAGTAAATGTACATGTACATGGGACTAAATCGCACCCAATACATAGAAAACATAGAAAATTATCAATGAACATGGCTTTTATTCCTGTTCTTCATCTTGACAGTTGATGTAGGGTCTTCAACAATGAATGTATCATTCATATCCTAAAATCAATGGTTGTACCCATGGCAAGTACAAGTAAATTTCCCTTGTGAAAAACATTAGTAACACAAGCAACTAATAGCATTTTACGAATAACTTTGATGGGTTATCTGCTTATTGTGTAATACACCCTACTCATTATTTGTTTCACATTTTTCAGGTTGTGGCCTTTTAGAGACTATACAATATGGGTTTTTCTCATTGTTGAAGGCTGTACAGTTGCCTATAATTGCTTACATCCACTTCATTTGAATTTGATGGATAGTTGTCTCATTGGCATTCATACATCTCCTTATTTTTATATTGGTAAAGATTTGACATTTTTTATTAGCATTAAGAGCATATATAAGTGGACAATCATTTCATTTTTAGGGGGTAAGGCAGGAGGATTTCTCTTGGACAGATTATTCACAAATAGTCAATATTATTTCATTTTTATCTGTTGCTCAGATTGTTTATGTCACAAAGCTTCATTTTCACTTTTTTACATAATTTTTCATGCTTAATGTGAGGCAGAAATGCAGCAGCTTATTCATTTTCATCTTGAACGGGCAACATTATTTCTTCTACTAATTCTCAACAAGCTAAAATATTCATTCCCACATCACCCCACCTTCATCCCATTGACCCAATAAATTCATTGGTTATCCACTTTCGAAAAGTACCTACATTGTACCTAGAAAACCTATCTTAGTGAACACTGACCTGTCTTCGTTTACATCCTTGTCCTTTGATCTCCTGGTAGTTGTCTTAATAGCAATCGTACCACATCTCCTTATTTTTATACCCACATGAAATATTTTTTTACATTCCTTATGAACGAAGCATGAAAGACCAAAAAAATGGAACATTGTTACAAACTAAACTATCTAGGAACACCCAACCACAGAAATGCTGGTACCTGCTATGACATGTATGAAGACATGTATTCTGGATGTCTTGTAATAAAAGAAGTTTGTTCTTGCTGACAAATTTTATTAACACACAAAGCAATATTAAAACATGTTAATTTTCCAAGTCCTTTTTTAATTCCATTCATGACACTATTTGAATAAATATATAGTCACTGGTTGGAATTTACATATTGATAATGGTGATTTCATACTCTGGTTAACTTCCGTCTTAAGTTTGTCACAGGAGCTGACACAATTTGTATTTGAATTTTTGGAACATAAAGTATCCTCTGCGATGTGTACATCATAGAAAATACATTCTACAAATGTATGTATTCTAGAGGCTTGGTTTGATGCCTTTCCCTGTATTGCATGCAGTATGAGTGATCATTTTGTAAGTCAGAATATGGTGTTATTTCTTGCACTTTCACCACAAAGAAACATATCTCCTTTCTTTAACTTTGGTATCCTGAAAATAACAAACATTTTTTTTGTAAGACTAAAATACATAAAATATAATTAGGGTTTCCCTGACATTTTCCATATTGTAAAATTATAATATTTATCCATTTAATTTCAAAGCAAAAAAAATAAAACATTACATGTAAAACAAAATACACCTGCCTACTACAAATTAAAAACGAATAAGAATCTAAAAATTACATTTTGTGGCAGTACTAGTACTAGTGCTGAAAGCTGTCAGAGCTGGATAGAATTCAACTAAGAATTTCTGTGAAAAATATTTAAGAGATGTGGCACACTGGTATGATTCTTGCACAAATTCTGAATATAATGATTTTAAAGTAATTCTGGTATCAGTATTATTTTATATATTTAATAATGTAGTTTACCTGATTATTAACCACAGCCATAACCAACTATTGTCTTCAGAGAGAAGTACTATTAGAACACAAAATATCTTTTACATCTGAAAGTAAAAAACTTAATGCAAGTATGATGTTAAACAATTATACACAGTAACTGAAATTTTATTACTTATGTATCAAGAGTAAGCTACTCTCCTAGCTGTCCATATATTAAAGCTAAATAATTATTTTTTATCAAATAACATTTAGAGAATTTTGCAGTAATTTAAAAACGAATAATTGGGCACTCGTCACTGCTGGGTTATGTATAATCTGTTACTGTTTAAACCATGTAAACAGATGTAATTTACATGTTCACTATAATAATGCTGGGATATGTATTTTATTGAAATTAATCCAGATATCTGGGGTTTTATGGTATACATATATATATATATATATATATATATATATATATATATATATATATATATATATATATATATATATATATATATATATATATGAACATTAACAAAGTAACACAGTTCATAATACATCACAAAAATAATAAAATACAAGACCTGAATTTATGTAGAATAAGGAGTCTGGTCAGAAAAAGTTCAGAATTTTAAAGTCCGCATTGGCACATTATGCATCCTATACAAGTACATAACCGGTTGATTGTATTGGTGTAACAAGGATTAATTATGTACTTTAGTAGACATGTAGCCATCCCAAGAATATCAAATGTTTGACCATGACAACATAAAATTTTTGACTATTTTGGTATTTCTTTATATTTCGAATGATGAACCCAGACGCCCAAGAGTCCTGACAATACATGTATGAAGAGTTTTTAGTAGTGAGCTGAGAGTTTATAACTGCTCCTTGATGAAGTGCCCAATTTTACTTTCAAATTCTCCATACATGTACATGTGAATGGACCGTTCTTTTCTTTTTGGTTTTTGTTTATGAGTGTTAAGAAATTTTGTGTATTGTGGAACACTTTTTGACAACAAAGCCTGAAAAATAGTCTTTCATAAAATTTCTTTTTATTCATTTGGGCAGTTAGAAAAATTATACTGGTCTGGGACGAGCGCTTGTGATTTATCCTGAAGACGGCAATATATATTTTTTATTTCATTAACTGAATTAGTCGCACTGAAATCGTACCCTTATCCCCCACACTTTTAAGCACATATATACACATATACAAATGTAACTATCTCCTGTTATCTTTGGTACAGGCCTGAGGTATACCAAAAAATTGGTCACTATACAAATCCTTGGACTCACTATACAAATCCTTGCACAAACTCATCAACAATAAATCGTTAAGGCTCATGGCATATTAATTACAAAATTGATCATTCATAATAAGTATTGTAAACAATGACTATATTAATATGTAATATTATAAACAATGACTATGAATTAAAGACATATTGACAATTCTATAGTGTTTGCTCAGCTTTACGCAGGTTCAAACTGTCTGATATGAAAGAGGAAGTCAATTTAATATTGTGTATGAATTATTATTTAATAAAAAGTTAATATTATTTTCATTTTTTTCAAATTTTGTAGGATCATCGATTATATTTGAAACTTTTTGGTAAAATATGGCCCTTTTAGTTGAGTATTTTTCACAATGTAAAAGAAAATGTTTTTATTTTCAATTTGACCAGAATTACATACAGAGCAGTATCTCTCATTTCTGGGATATTTAGATGTCTCCCTCTTTCAATCATCAGTATATGAGCACTTATACGGATCTTACATATTGCAGCTCTGTCACTTCTGTTTTTTAAGATATCAACATAGGGGGGTCTTCGACCCATTATGTAGACACTCTTGAAAAAGTCTAACTTCTTTGATTCAAGCAGGAACATGTATATAGATATACTGTTCCCAGATTCAAGTATATTTGCATTTTGAACTTGCAAAAAACTGGTCATTAATTCTTTGTTTAATGGAATTTAAATTACCATTGACATAATTAAAGTTATTAACGATATACGACATTCCAAGTCCATTTAAAAGACTCTTTATCTTTATGACCCAAGGGTTTGAATCTACAGATTTAGTGAATATAGCATATGCCAAAGAATAAATGGCGCCGATGGCATTCCTAATAATCGCGAATTTCACAAACCATTATAAAACACTTCACACCAAATAAATCACACTTATATTGGTCATTTTATATGCCAAAATATATCTACTTTACGATAAAACTTATCAATTCATTGTATTTGTTGTACGTTTGGAATTATTTTGTTAATTTATTGAGCAGTTCCGATAGTTTTTCAATCGGACGCTTCCAAAATCCATAAATCTTGCGAAGTCTCGTAAAGTTCGAGATTTTATCAATTTTATACTGAAAAGCCTATCAGATTCATTTCCCGTTAGATATACTGTTCCCAGTAGCAATAAACCAATAAAATGCTAAATAGTATTTGGGAGAGAGGGATGGAAATATGTGAATTTTAAATTTCCTTCCCTATAATTTGAAGTTATATTTATAAGGGTCTGGATGGAATTGCATACTTTGCAATGTGTAGTATTACTTTATTAATTATTTCAACATAAGACATTTTTTATACGACCGCAAAAAATTTTTTTGGATCGTATAATGGTATGATGTTGTCGTCGTCTGCGTCGTCGTCCGAAGACACATTGGTTTCCGGACAACAACTTTAGTTTTAGTGAATGGATCTCTATGAAATTTTTTAAGAAGGTTCAATACCACAAAAGGAAGGTTGGGATTGATTTTTGGGATGATGGTCCCATCCGTTTAGGAATTAGGGGCCCAAAAAGGGGCCCAAAACAAGCATTTTTCTAGTTTCAGGATAATAACTTGTGTATAAGTATTTCTATTGCTCTGAAATTGTACCACAATGTTAAATACCACAAGTAGAAGGTTTGGATTCATTTTAGGGGTTATGGGGCCAACAGTTTAGGAATTAAGGGCCAAAAAGGGGCCAAAAACAAGCATTTTTCTAAGTTTCCAGACAATAACTAGTGTGTAAGTGTATGGATCTCTCTGACATTGTACCACAAGTTCCCATAGAACAAATGGAAGGCTGAGATTGAGTTTGTGGTTAATTGCCCCAATTATGTAGGAATTAGGGGCCAAAAAAGGGCCAAAAACAAGCATTTTTCTAGTTTCCAGACAATAACTTGTGTGTAAGTGTATGGATCTCTCTGAAATTGTTCTACAAGGTTCCACACTACAAAGGAAAGGCTGGGATTGAGTTTTGGGGTTATTGCTCCAAGAGGGGTTTCAAAAAGTTGGGGGGGGGGGGGATTTTTTCCCAAGTTTTTTAAGGGATTCATATTTTTTTTCAACATTTTTTAAATTTCGAATTTTTGAAAAGTTTCAAGAAGAAATCTTCAATTGCACAGTATTGGGCAATGGATTTATAAGATCTTTGACCACATTTAATTTGTGTCAGAAACCTATATTATGTCAAAAATTTGATCACAATCCAAATTCAGACAGTATCAAGCTTGAACATTGTGTCCAAATTTGCCCCAAATGTTCAGGGTTCGACCTCTGCGGTCGTATCAGGCTGCGCTCAGCGAAGCATTTTATTACTTCTTGCTCTCCCCTTTACAGAAATTTTGGGTGCTAAATTTTATAGTTCACATAATATTGATATTATTTTTTTTTTGACATTTCAGAAAATTGTCAAGACTTGCTTTTGAACCCCCTTCATGTATATCTATGCTTATTCTGTCAACAGAGGGAGGTTCAAATAGGAATCTTTCTAAAAAAAAATTACATGCCATGACCGTCAATATATATGTACAAGGATTTGTATAGTATACAAATCCTTGATATGTAGTTGATTTTCTGAAACAATAAAATAATAAATAAGACTTTCAAAAATGCTGTGCATGTGTATTCTCCTTTTAAAGATTCTTTGAAATTGCTATAAAAAATCAACAAATTCAACAGTTTTCTGCTGTTATTGACACACATTATTGTTTTTTATACGACCGCAAAAATTTTTGCGGTCGTATATTGTTCATAGTTGTAATTCACTTTTTTGGTGTTTGGCGGTGTTTTGTGGTGTTCAGTGGTGATTGGTGGTGTTCGGCGGTGAAAAGACCGACCCGCTAAACCAAAAACATGCATGAGAAGTTCAATTTGTGAGTGTTAAAATGACTGTATGAGTTTACAGTAACATCCTTTTCATAATATACATTATTGCTATTATAAAACACACCACTTTAATAGGCATTAGAATTATACAGCCTCTTCTCCAAGCCAGAATCACAAAACCAATTCTGTTATGCATTTTGGCATTGTTAAATTCAAATCATTTCTGGTATTAAGTGACACATTTAAAATCATGACATAAATAACTGGAAAAAAAACCGTATAAATTTCATTTCGAATTACATTCTATATCGTTATTGTTATTGTTATGTTCACATTCTTTCCTCAACTGAACATGAGTATTTAATCCTTAAACCACATTAATGCTTAGGCTAATACATAAAACAAAAACACCATATCATTATGGGATCAGCTCGCCAGTTGTGTAGCTAACTTTATTAAATTCAACAAAAAATATAAAGAAAAAGTCAATCGCATATGACATCTGCACAGGCCGCTGCCATCAGGGATGGGCACGATTACTGACAAATGTAATCGATTAATAATCGATTACCTGAAGGATTTTTGTGTATTCGATTTATAATCTATTACTGTGATTTTTTGTATGTAATCGATTGCAATCGATTACTTTATCAAAAGTAATTACATTACATTTCGATTACTGTCAATTACATGCTACAAAATTACAAAAAAATAATAAAGTAAGCCAAACACAAATATATTGTTCAACGTATGTATAGTGGAAATTTAGAACTTTACAAAAACAGCATTTAAAGCATTGTGTTCGAAGTTTAAGTTGACAGTTGTTTTCTAAATGGAAGCTCTTACTGAGGATCTGAAATATTCAAAAATTCTTGAAATTCTGGGTTTTCAACATGAGCGAGTGGTGATAAAGTTCTTACAATGACATTACATGGCTTCAGTCACTTCTTTATATTTTAGGTTATTTTCCATATTTCTCTATATTTTGCAAATTTTTGCTGTCATACTGACTTAAGTTAGGTATATTGTATTTATTCATTTAACTATATTTGAATATATAGTACATTACAATGTTGTTAGTTTCCTCTGAAAAAGAAATGTAAAAAAGAATAA